TTCGGGGTGCGACCAGAGTCACGGAACGAATTAAGTTCGTAAACCGAGGTTCCACTGTATCACTAGATTAGACAATTGCAAGTCTGGATAATAAAGCAGACATTTAACATGGATGTTAAAATGGTAGTAATAGAGACAAAATTAATTTTCTAGGCAGAAAATGGAAGTATCTTCTGGTCTTCACATTCTTTGTAGAATTGACCAATTTTAAATGTTGTGCAATAAAAGGCTGAAAAATAGTTTCTATTATATACAAATAAAAAGGAAAGTGATTTGCCTTTTTATAACATTTAGAAATCATACCGTCCTAAACAAATATACAAGGACAGAGATAGAAAATATTTGGCATGAAGAAAAACTGCATAAGCAAACACAAGGTAAGTCAGCTTACAGAGGGAATGAGGGTCAACAATAGAAATGAACATAGAAAAATATTCCTAGGTTTCTTTGAAGCATTTCAAAATGCACTAAAAATTAAAATGATATAGTTCCTAATGGATGCATGTCTCACCGTGGTCTCAGTGTCTGTAGTAACCAGGTACAGAAAAGAAAGGATACAAATGCTAGTGGCTGGTAAAAGGGAAATTATTTTTAAAAATCACCTAAAAAGTCACTACTAAAAATACTGTTTTAGGTTCTTCCTCTCAAGCATCTAGAATGACACATTCTTACATTGAGATATTATAGCCTTTTTCATGATGATCTATTATTATGAAATATTACTAAATATAAAACTGTCACATCTGACTAATCAATGAAATTTATTAGCAATTCGTATATGGGCCAATTAATATGGCATTCACCCCCACCTGCCAAAATAATAAAACCAATAGATTTCTGTATTTTTCTACTACTCCAGCTTCTCTTTAAATCATATAAACCTTTCACCTCAGTCAATATCTTCTAGTCTCTTGAGTTCAATACAGGAAATGTGTCCAGAGACCCTTGTAATGCCACTGAGTCTTTGGAACACCTCCCATTCCTAAGTGGGAGGAACATTAGAGACAATGAAGATCAACCTCATTCCTTAGAACAAGCACAGTTGAAAAAAGCATTAGATCAGCACCAAACTGTTTAGAAGGTCCTGTCCCACCTTCTAAAGAGAGGATCACCTATAAGCTGCAGAAGTAGCGCTTCTTTTAATTTGGTTAATGTTAAAAACGGTGAGAATATATGGGAGAGATGAGCTCCAATTCATTCCTCCTTAGGGAAGAGTGAGAACAACTTGTAAAGAACAGGAAAGAGACACTCTCTTCTTTCTCACAGAGGCAAAGAGCTGTGGAAGAGCTGCAACTGAGAAGACCAACTCTGTAAGTATCTAAATGCATTATGTTACAGGAGGGAAATACCAATTACTAAGAACTTCATAATAGACAGAAAATAATACTGTCTGCCAAAAGAATAAGTAATTGATTCCTACTTACAGGAAGATGTTGGCAGCAACTTATAAACCATATATTTACCAAGTAATACCCAATTGTTATAGGGCATATTTGGAATCAGTTCAAAGATTTAACAATCTCCCTCCCAGATCCCTTGCTTCATCTCAAAAGCAGTTTTCTTCACTGAGGTTAGAATAAATAGTGTTGAGTCCAATCAATGTATGTCAGCACCCCTAAGTAGACAAAGCCAGAGAATCAGATCCACTGGAAGATTAGAATTATACTTTACTGAGATAGGCTACAATAACATAATCTTGTCTGATTGCACTTCCAGGGAAGAAATGGTGAACTGAAGATGGTTCCGCTAAAAGCAGAGTCGACAACCACAGCAGAATGAGGAGCCGGCAAGTAGACCAGCTCTTTGTAATTCCTCTCTGGACAAGGAGAGGACTTGAGATTGTCCACAAATTCTCCAGACAGTTGTTCCTTGCGAGGAGAGTGCAAGACAGTGGTCTCCTGTAGATTTAGAGCTCTGGGAGACAAGGGAATAGCCATCTTGCTCAAACCACGGTCAGCACCTTTAAGGACACTGGGTTTGCATACATCCTTTTCTAATCACTTTTGAAAATTGCTTGTTAACTGCTTTTTAGCTATTAGGAACCTTTGGATCGACAAGTCTGAAAACACTGGGTGAATTTCCTTCAGTCCTTATTGAAAGAGGTTTTAAATACAAGCTTAAGGACTTAAAAAAGATATTTTTTTGGAATAAACAGCAAAAAGGTGATTAGAACTTTGATTTTGGAAAGTTACAAATAGACTAAGGGTCCAGATGGATTTGAAATAAGATTTTGGAATTAATTACAAGAATCCTTCCCATAAGAAAATGCTTTTGTTCTGAATTCTTAAAGAAAAAAAAATGATAGAATGAGACTTTGAAGGTTGGACACTAGGGGGAACCAGAAGGAACTAAAGATTACAATTAAAGGAGAAGAACACTTAAATTTGACTTACTAATAAAGTATGAAGCAAAATAGTTTAACATTGGACATACTGAAGGATGTTTTTGAACAATGGACCCAGAAGTTAATTTTAAGAGTGTCTGTCTCTATAGATAGACTGTGTTTAAAAGATGTTATGGAAGAGGAACAAGCTTTACCGGACATGACTGAGACCAATCTGAAAGTGGATTTAAAAGTGACAGGCTTCAAGAACAATATGGAAAAAAAGATTTGTTAAAGTTTTTGAAGAATTTTGTGAGAAGGAACAAAGAAAAAATGAAAATAAATTAAGTTCTTGGACATTATTTGAAGGGACTAAAGATCAAGATTGTTAAAAGTAAAAGGAAGGAATATAAAG